ATAAAATCCTGAAAAAAAAATCCTAATGTTAAATGAACTATAGTTATATAGTTAAATGAACATTTTATACAATGCACTTTTGCTGGGATTTCTATGACAATTCACTGCACCTTGAATTTTAACATATTCAGTAATTATAGGATGAATCTTCTAGCTGTAAAATGGTCAACCTGAAAGTATTCTATAGCTTAAATATAGAAAACAATGGGGATTCTTTTTTTATTTTATTTCAAATTTTGGTATAACTGTAAGGATTAGCATTACAAGAGATTATATCTTGAAAATGTGGATATTTAAATATATTCAGGATTCAAAATCCTAATCTGGAAATTTAAGTAAATATAAATTTGAATTTTAAAACATCTATCATTAGTAAGGGAGACTATACTTTAGTATATGTGCTGCCGAAGCGAGCACAAGGGGGACTGTACTTTAGATAGCAATATATATGAGTATATTCATTACTCTCAAAACTGATTACTACTATGATTACTGATTAACTGTGGGAACTCTCTTAAAGGAATCTGTCACCTGGACAGGTTTTTACAATGGTTCATATTAGGCAAAGTTGCCTTTGAAAATATTACTAATGCAAACCTCCCAATAATATTGGGAGATGCTTCATTTGCTTTTGATATGTAAGGAACCTGATTTTAGGAGTGATTGTTACTTTTGGTTAACTTTTGTTAAACCAAAATAACAAACCTATTAAGCAGCAAAGTGCTATAGCATTCTGTACATAGAGCAAACCCTCGAGTTATAACTGGCCTGACATATGAACAACTTGGGTTATGACCGGAATTTTAGTTTTAACTTATGAACCAAATCTTGAGTTGTGATCTGAATGCTGGCCACTTGTGCACCCAGATGGTCTCAGATACAGACTAAATGTTTAAAGAGTTCTGGAAGGAACATTATAATATCCCTTCCTGTGTGGGATTGATGGAGAAATCCTGGGCCAATGTCTCTGTGAGGACACTGAGATCTGCCTATATACAGCAGAGAGACTTTGAAGGCTGTGTAGAGGAGCCTGAGCCTTCAATTGACCAACTTGAGTTACAACCAGCCCTCATGATCAAACTGGGTTTGCATATCAAGGGTCTACTGAATTCCCAGCAAATGACTGCTTCATTTCTCCTTGCATAGTTACTAGAATGAGATTCCTGCTTCCGAAGATGATTGACAAAGACACCATATCACACATCGTAATCTCTCAGCTTCTCACAGCAAAGTTCCCAGTATCCCTCCAAGAAGTGAAATAGGCCCTGTTCGTTACTTCATTAATCCCTGACTACACCCAAGTGTTGGGCTCATTATTTACTTATCTGATCCACCTTCTTTTAACCTGCTCTGAAGTTCATCTTCCACACAGATTCCCAGAAATCCAGAAATACTGACCCTATCTGCAGTTAAGATTAATCAAATCTCTTCTCAAATAAAATATTCTTCTCTCTGAGTCTATAGTAAAATTGAGCATCACTGTCACTGGCTTTTTAGCCCATCTTTCCTCATTCAGGTTGCCTAGATGCACCTTCAATTACTCTTTTTGTACAGAATCACCAAATGTCAAAGTAAAATGTTTGATTCAATTTATGAAATCCACATTCTCGATGCATAGTTTACTTAAGCTTTTCTAAGCGGACATCTGACCTCAAACAGCACCACAATAGACATACCTGAAAAAGAACCTCTTCTGTTTTCATATTCCTCTAATTATTAGGAAGAAGTGTTTATGTTGTGGACTCTGTTTCTCTTCAAATTGCATCCACTGGCTCTTGTTCCCTTCAAAGGAAATAAAGTGGAATAAATCTAGTTATTGATCACGAAAAAGTCTTAAAAATGAGGCATAAATTTTGAAAGAACTTGACAGACAGTTCAGAGTCAAACTCATGCATATGTTGAAAGAGTAATGTAACAGACGATAGCACCACCAGTAGGTGGCAAAGGATGGCTCATATGGTGTTGGGGAAAAGATCGAACAGTGAAAAAGGAAGCTGTAGCCGCACATATCAAGTAGAATTTCAGTTGGATTCATGGTTTCAGTGTGAAACATCAGACTTTAAAATCAGGAAAAGAAAAGTAAAATATCTTTGACATACAAATAAGATAGACTCTAAACAAAATCATAAATGACAAACTATATGTCTAATATTTTTCTTCAAGTATATGCTGCACTATAGATGAAAATGACCACTTGCCACATGATGTCTGCAATATAAAATAACAAGGGAGTCCATCTAGAATATATACCGAACACCTAGGACTCAATAAGAAAAAAAATGAAAAAGCCAGTGCAAAACTGAGGCAGATGACATGGAAGACAATATTAGGAGAACAGTTAATCCACATTTGAAGAGATTAAAAAGTTCAAATTGGTGACTAATCTGAGGTATCTAAATTAAGATAACACAACACCACTACTTAATTCTCAAAGAAGAAACGTGAAAGTATCAGATAATACCAACTTTTGCCACAGATGTGAGGATATAAGAGCTGCCGTCTTAGGGTTTGGATTGGTCCATATATTCTGGACAGTAAGGTAGCTGTACTTAATAAAACTGAACATACAAATATCCTTCATCTCAGCAATTCTATCTTGGGTTGATTCCCACAGAAGACCTTGGGGGATGCTGTTCTCTGTAGAGGTGTTGCCGTGAAGAGGAGCTGGGAGCAGACCTGGGAGCATCACTGAGGTAACAAAAGAGCAAGAACTGGGTGTGTGCTCCCTGCATGCCAACCATGCAGCAATTTAGGAATAATGATCTAAATGGGCACAGAGTAGTACAGATGGATCTTCCCACACAGATCAGAAGCTGAGCAAAAGTTTCTAAAATATTTAAAATAATATTGTACATATATATTTAAAACATGTCACAGAGTGACCAACTCTCTTGAGATTTTTGCCCGGCTGAAATTTGAAGGGTACTATTAAAAATAAGAACTTTTTAAATGAGATGGGCCTGAGCAAAATAATTGAAATTACAACATGGCTCTGAATAGTACATGGAAAAAGAGAATACAAAAATTAAAATAATAATTAAATCAATATGTTATACAAAAATATAAAAGAGAGTTTACGTATACAAATGATCAGCTGGTATAAATAGGGAAATGTGTGAAACTCAACCCCCTGAACCAGAAGAAAAAGATGTCTTGAAGACATTGTTTGTGCACCTCCCTAGCTAAAATTACTGTAAGTCTTAAGTCTTTACTGTTTTGCTTCTTCAGGCTTTGTCTTTTTGTTTTGTTTTGTTTTTTTGTCTTTCTCCTGATACCAAGAATCTGTGGCATTTTGGCACACACAGATTGTGGACGAGCACACTTTGTGTACACAGAGCCTTCCTCCTCAACTCCCACTGAGTGACCCCATGCAATATTCAAAGAGGAGTAGTCAAAATCCTCCTGTGAAGCTTCACTTCCGAAGCAGCAAGGATACATGCTCTTCGTCACCTGTCCCTCCTCTTTCTTTCTGCCTGGAGCATAAGTATGATATTGATCATTCTTAAGCAAATTAGTTGGAAACCATGAGTGGAAAAGTGAAAAAGAAGGGTAGGAAACAGCAATAGAGAAGTCATGCTTATTTCTGATTTCCTTGAGCTGCTGAAATACCTTTTTCTGCTTACCCCACGATGTGATTTGAATGCCTCCTCTAAAACTCTTGCTGAAATTTAATTGCCACTATAACAATACATTTACAAGGTGATTAGGTCAGGAAAACCTCTGTCATGGTGAATAGATTCATGCTGTTATAATGGTATAGTTTCTGCTTCGGTCCGCTTTTCCAGTGCTAGTGCAAAATACTCAACATCCACAATTTAAGGGATGACGAGTTTAACTTGGGTTATGGTTTCAGAAGTATCAGACCATGGTCAGAAATATCATGGTGGAAGAGTGTGGTGGTATCACTTCATGGTGACAGGGAACCACAGCAGGGAAAAGCTCCAGAGACCAGAAAGAGTACCCAAGGTCCTGCCTCCCTGACTCAGCCAGACACACCCAGTAGAGTGCTTGAGTAATCCTTTGTTCTCAAGACAAACAAGTTGGAGATCCAGCTTTACAGTTACAACTCAAAAAAGTTAGGTCATGGGTATGGCTTCTTGATAAAAGGACTCCTCTGTTTACTGTCTACTGACTTGAATGCCCAGCCCCTGTTACAGGGCACCTTCTTTTAGACACCCCAGCCTCCAAATTATGAGTCATAAAAACTTTGACTTATGAATGGTACTATGATTTATGAATGGCTCAGCTGGTGACATTATGTTATGATCACAGAAAATGGACTAAGATTGGACAATTTCTTACTATACATATGTCAAAAATTTTAAATTAACCTTTCTGCATATGTTTTGTTAGGACAAAAGGCCAGGCCAAGATCAAACTCCTAAACTACTGGCAGAATCTCAAGACCAGGGTCTATTTCTCATTGACATTTCTGAATCCTTTACTAGTGCAAGATATGATATTTGGGGTACCATAATTGTGTTTATTTTCAATGATAAATCAGATAGATAATACCTAAATAGACAGACAGACAGAGACAGATAGATAGAAGATAGAAGAAGCTGTTCATTGAAGCAATGACCATATTTGTATCCTGTGGTCAGTCAGTTTTATGAAGATCACAATCCCTAAAATCAATGACAACTCTGGTATAAAGAACAGAATATTTTCATTAAGAATTATTTTATTAAGAAACTGCCATTTCATTACATTTTAGTACATCCAGTTATATAATCCTACTCTCTTCTGCAGATATCCAGTGAGCAGAGTCAGAGAAAATATATGGCAATTTACATTTGAGAAATGAACAAAATAACATCTGTATCCAGGGATGTGACGGACAACTCAATCTTCATCAAGTGCAAATATTTCTTTAATTATATATCAGATGCTCAAGAGACAAAAATTGATCTTCACTTTGGTTAATGACGGCGGGCATTTCAAATGGACTTCATCAGGAAGTGGTCGCCTCAAGGGCAAAACCTGACTCGTCATAGTGATCAGCAGCAAGAGGAGTAGCATCTTCTGTAGCAGAAGGGGTGGTAGTTACAACAGCCAGACTTGCATCCACAGCCATAGCGGGAGCCATATCCACAGCCAGAGCCATATCCACAGTTGTACCCATGGCCAGAGCCACAGCCACGGCCAGAGCCACAGCCAGAGCCATATCCATAGCCAGAGCCACAACCGGACTTTGTGTATCCATAGCCAGAGCCACAGCCATAACCACAGCTAGAGCCACAGCCACAGCCACAGCCACAGCCAGAGCTGTATCTACAGCCAGAGCTATAGCCAGAGCCACAGCCACAGCCAGAGCCATATCCCCAACTGTACCCACGGCCAGAGCCACAGCCAGGGCCAGAACCACAGCCATAACCACAGCTAGAGCCACAGCCATAGCCAGAGCCATATCCCCAACTGTACCCACGGCCAGAGCCACAGCCATGGCCAGAGCCACAGCCAGAGCCATATCCATAGCCAGAGCCACAGCCAGAGTCAGAGCCATAGCCACAGCCATAACCACAGCTAGAGCCACAGCCACAGCCACAGCCATATCCACAGTTGTACCCACGGCCAGAGCCACAGCCACAGCCAGAGCCACAGCCACAACCAGAACCGTATCCACAGCCAGAGCCACAGCCCCCACAGGAGTTCCCGTAGCTGCAGCACATGGTGTCAGAAGATGATGTTTCAGTAGAGGAGTAGGAGGGTGTTTCTCAAGTGTGAACGTCAACTTTTCTTCCTGGCCCTTTATATACTTGACAGGGATGGATGGGTCATAGCTCATGTGGACTCTGTTGACTTCACAACCGTGTGCCTAAAATGAGGTCATCCTGTGTACACTTATTTTGTTAACAATTCATAATTTACTTATTGCCTTCTTAGAAATTTTCATGAGCTTTGAAAGAAAACAAAGGTACGTTGGCCATACCTCCAAGCTTGTGCATCCTAAGTTTATCTTTCATAGTTGTATTTTATGTACCTCATACAACACATCATTAAAATATTTGACCTAAAAACATGTGATTGTTTGTTAGTCTGTTCTTTGAGGTTGGGGAAATTGTTGTATAGGCCATTCTATTTGCTGCTATTCACCCCTTCCTCATCCTCTTCATCCTTCTGTCCTTGTTTTTATTCTTTATCTTGATGTCTTTTTTCTTTCCTTGTAATTTCCTGTTTCCTCCATGATCTTTCTAAATGCTGTTTATGGATTTTGGACAGTGAATTGAGTATTTAGACATGTTCTACCCACTTCTGAAAACTTTCCACTTCTATCTAAAGGAAAGCTATTCCCGTCCTTCATTCTCCATACAGGTTATGACTTTATCTTTCTTCTTTGGAGAAAAATAAATGTATTAAACTCCTGATGGATCCGTTCTATAAGGAGATTTATTATTTTACTACAAAAGACAAATTTGCTAAATGCCAATTTAGGGTGCTGTAGATGTCTTGGAGCAACAACTTCTTTGTTAGAGTTCAATACCTAGATGCAGGTCTGTCTCTTGTTTTCTTTAGGCTACTTTCATATCTGTGCTATATATCCACATTTCTCACAAAAAAAAATGTAACCCATGGATAATGTTTCCTTCCATCTTCAATATTTTCTTGAATTGAGTCTAATGTGTTTTCTCCAAAAAAAAATCAATAGTTTTATATGAATCTTCCCTTATCCTACTTGTTATTGGCTAACTAGCCATTGTGATATCAATAACGCTTGGCCCTTCTGTTGTACTTATTAGTTCTCCTTTCCTTTATCTTCATATGACTTCATCCTATTGTTTTCATATAAATAGGTCTCTGATCTCTTTTACTTTAAATTTTCTGTCTTTGTTTTTCCCTTTCTGTTTTTTTTTTCTTTCTTTCTTTATATGGATACCTTATCCCTTGTCTGCACATCTCAATGCACACACTAGTAAATCTTGAATGTTATCATGGGCTCAAGCCCAACATACAAGTACACAAATTACCCCTAAAATTAAAAATATCTACAAATATTTGAGCCCAGACAGGAGACATAAACTATGCAATAGGTCAATTGGGGAAAATATAATGTAAAAAATATTAAGCTAAGGAGAAAAACAACAATATATTTTTTTTTTTTGGTACCAGGGATGGAACTCTGGCCCTTGTGCTTGCAAGGCGGGCAGTAAAACTACTGAGCTAAATCTCCGCCCCCTAAAACAACAATAATTTATCAGAAAACTCCGCATGCTATTCTAGGGCTTCGGAAGAATCTTCACAGAAAAAAAAAATCTTTCAAATATCATACTCACCTAATAAATGCATTGGAAAATTATTTTTCCATAGCAAACAAGAGTGTATTGCACACTTAAAAATTTGGGAAAATTGTAGCTTCCATGTGAAGAAGCATTTCTACCCTTAGGAGAAAAGCAAATAAAATAATGAGGGAATGTTGAAAGGTGACAGATGTGTCTAGAACCATGATTGTGGAGTTGGCTTCCTAGGTGTAAGCATATGTTTAAACTCAAGAAATTATGTGCATAAAATCTGGGCATTCTTCTCGCTAGTAATAACATTTCATGGAAGCTATTTAAAAAACACTTTGTTCTGCAGTCACAGGGAAAGCAGGAACAATAATCAGGAAACAGGTGGTAATTATGTGATCCTCACCAGCGCTGAGGGCGAGAAGTGCCCCAGAAGAAGACTAAAGGGCCGAGCGAGCAGACTATAGAAGGTATCTGGCCATCTGGGTGGGAAGGCAGTGGCCTACAAAGAGCCACATGTGAGAAGGATGCAGGAAGCCAGCCTCTGTCGAAGGGAGTGCAAATACTGATTACTGTCGGAACGCAGCCTCCGCTACTTTCCGGGCCCCGGGCTGAAACAGGCTTCACTAGATGTCCTGAAGCCCACTCTGTCGGAACCTAACCTCCCTCTACCACTGAAAAAAATGAAACCCTCAGGAAGATCTATATACTTTCAGGAATGCCCACCTGTATCTTCCGCCGAGAAAGCTTAACGTCATACTCATAGGTAGGAAGAAAGGCGCAAAGGGATCTCAGTATAGGGCAACCATACAAGAGTGAGTTAGAAACTGACAGGCAGTAACCTGACAACTTGTAGTCTCTCTTCTTCCAAGTTGCAGAAAATCACTAATAAAATAGCCTTCCTTGGCAAACACAGTAACTAATATTCTGCTTGAAATATGTACTTTACTTTTTTACATGGCTATGATAAATGTCCTTGATAGGGTGAACCTCAGTTTTTGTAGATGGTCAAGAGGAAATGAAAGTAATTACATGCACTGAAAACTTCACCGAGTGGCTCTTGGAAAGAATGCGTGGGATGGGGTGGGATATAGCTCAGTGGTCCTGCTGCCTGCCTTACAAGAGCAACGACCTGAGCTCAATCCCTAGTACCCAAAATAAAAGAGAGAGAGAGAGAGAGAGAGAGAGAGAGAGAGAGAGAGAGAGAGGGAGAGAGAGAGAATATGTGGGATGTAAAAGGCAGAGCATAAATCTTCATAGTGAAAAAATGTTTTTTCCTCACATTTATTCTCATATAAGCCTCCTACCAAAAAGCTGATTGTCAAATTTCTCCACACATTTTTTTCTGATGCATTTATTTACGAAAATTTTAAGAGTCACTTTACTGTTGCTACAGGTTGATGTGTAACATGTGTGTATGTATGCAACTGGTATATGAGGGCACACACAGGCTGACACACATGGCATAAGTCTCAAAACCCTTCACAATAAAGCTTCATTTGATCTCCGCCAAAAGGCCAAGAAGCGATTCACAATAAAGTTTCATAGATGATCTAGGGTGTTTTTGTTTGTTTGCTTGTTTGTTTGGTACCAGGATCAACCTCAGGACCTTGGGCTTGCAAGGCAGGCAGCCGAACCACTGAGCTAAATCCCCAGCCCTCAAAGATGATCTAGCTCCCTCAGAAATGTAATTGTACTCTGCATTTTGCTGAAACATTTTTATCATAAAGTATAAAACTGCAGAATCGAGGAATATGTCACAGAACTTGATTTCATACCATACTGGAAACCCAGTAACTTTGGAAATCCATTGAAACTATCAGTACTGACCATGGCGACGTGACTATACATGTTGAGAACATGCCTCTGTACTAGATGGAAAGAGAAAACATTTTTTTGTTTTCAGACATTCATGTTGGAGTAAAGTGAATACTGCCCTGAACATTTCAGCAGAGATGACTAATCTGTCATTTTAAAGGTAAGTTCCATATTCATAAGTTCTTACTCTGAGAGGACATTCTGAGATAAGTTAATGCTTTTTACTCTCTGTTTTCACAAACATTTTAATTGGTTATTTAAAATGCTACATACTATATTTATTTTATATGACATGATGTTATATATGTGCATTGCAGAATGGCTAATTAAGCAACTTAATGCATGCATTTTCTCACACATTTATAATTTTTTTAGTGAGAAGAACACATTACAATCTGCTCTAATAACAAATTTCAAGTCAGTAATTCAGGATTTATGCTACATTCACCACACTAATCTTAGAACTGAACTTTGTAATTTTGACCAAAACCTCCCATTTCTCCCACCGCCCCAGTAATCACCATTCCACTCTGTTTCTGTGGGTTTCGCATTCTAGATTCCAAATACAAGTGAGATCTTGCCCTATTCATCTTTCTGTATCAGTTTACTGAACATAAAGTCTTCCAGATTCATCTCTGTTATCACACAGTATTTCCTTCTTTGTAAGGCTTAGTGGCATTTTATTCTGTATATTGCACGTTTTCTTTATTCATTCATCCACTGATGGACATTGCGAACAACGGTGAAATTAGCATGGAGTGGCTGCAAGTGAATCTTCAACATACTGATTATACACCATTTATTTACGTACACAGGAAATGGGACCACTGGATTTACCTCTTGTGGAACACACATACTGTTCTCTATAATGGTTATATGAATTTACACATTGTGTAGAAGGAGACATTTAAAAAATTTCTTCCCAGAAATTATCGAACAACGGTGAAATTAGCATGGAGTGGCTGCAAGTGAATCTTCAACATACTGATTATACACCATTTATTTACGTACACAGGAAATGGGACCACTGGATTTACCTCTTGTGGAACACACATACTGTTCTCTATAATGGTTATATGAATTTACACATTGTGTAGAAGGAGACATTTAAAAAATTTCTTCCCAGAAATTATATATATATAATATAAAATAATAAAATATGTTGAGTATCTCTTCATATGTCTGTTGATTCCTTTTATAAATATGTGTATTCTGATCCATTGTCTATCTATAATTGGGTTTTTCATTTTCTTAATATTGAACATTTTGAATTCCATTTGTATCTTGGAGACTAGTCTGAGATCAGGGGAATGTTTTTAAAATCATCTGTCATTGTATAAGTTTTTGTATTCTTTATGCTGATTATCTCCAACGCTATTGAAAACTTTTTAGTTTGGTATAATTTACCTGCTTTTACTTTTGCTGCATGTGCTTTTGGAGACATATTCTAGCAAAACTGCTCTTCTGCTCCATACATTGTTTTTCCACACTGTTGATTACAAAGGATCGCTAACCTCTCACCCTGTACTAAAATAAAATCAAAGTGGGACAAAGTCCTCCATATAAAAACAGAAACTTTGAAACTGCTGAAGGATAACTCAGAGAAAAGCACTTGAAGCCACGAGAGT